CGTTCACCGCTGACTAGAGATATACAGTGTGTCCCCCCAAAATGTATATACACTTTGAATACCTACTAATTCCAATGGTTTTAAGCATAAGAAAGAAACAACAATGGAGCTGTTATCTGTTAAAAGTGTGGGCACAAACAGGTAGTTGGACATTCCCTGAGGGGTCTCAGATTGGAGAGGGTGAAGGCCAGACTGAGGGGTCCTTTACCCGCCCCGCCCCCCAGTGCACGAATTTCGTGCACCGGGCTACTAGTGTATTCAATAATTAGTGTTGGGATAATTTGTTCAAAAAAGTAAAACTAGACTACCTTCTTATACCATACACAAGAATAAACTCAAAATGGATTAAAGACTTAAATGTTAGACTCGAAATCATAAAACTCCTGAAGGAAACAGGCAGTAAAATCTCGGACATTTCTTGTAGCAATTTCGAGCAAGGGAAACAAAGGAAAAAATTAAGGGGACAACATCATACTGAAAATTTTTTGTACAGCAAAGTAAACCAACAAAATGAAAAGCCAACCCTCTGGATGGGAGAACATATTTGCCAATTTACATGTGATAAAGGATTAATATCCAAAATATAAAACTCAATACCAAAAAAACCCCCAAGCCATCCAATTAAAAAAATGTGCAAAGGACCTGAATAGACACTTCTCTGGAAAGGACATACAAATGGCCAAACAGCCATATGAAAAGATGCTCAATGGCACTAATCTGTAATATAAATTAAAACTACAATGAAATATCACCTGATGCCTGTCAGAATGATTATCACCAATAAATCAACAAGTGTTGGTGTGGATGTGGAGAAAATGGAACCCTGGTGCACTGTTGGTGGGAATGCATATTGGTACAACCAAAGTGGAAAGCAGTATGGAGTTACCTCAAAAAAAGGAACTGCCTTATGACCTACTGATTCCACTTCTGAGAATTTATCCAAAGAAACCAGAAACACTAATTCGAAAGAATATATGCACTCCTGTGTTCATTCAGCATTATTTACATAGCCGAGATTTGGAAGCAACTGGTTTCCATCAGTAGATAAGTGGATAAAAAAGGTGTGATACATTTACACAATAGAATACTACTTGGCTGTTAAAAAACAAACAAACAAATAAATAAATAAATAAGGAAACCTTATCCTTAGTGGCAGCATGAATGGACCTGGAGAGCATTATACTAAGTGAAATAGGCCAGTGAGAGACAACAAGTACTGTATGATTTCACTTTTATGTGGAATCTAATGAACATAATGAGCTAACAAGCAAAATGGTGACAGACTCATAAAGAGCAGTCTGACAGCTTTTGGGATGGGGGCTGCAGGGAAAGTAGAAGGATTGAGCAAAAAAAGAGGAAAAAAAAGGAAAAACTCATGGACACAGACATTTGTGGTGATTGCCCAGCAGAGGAGGGATGGTGGGACGTGGAGGAGCGTACAGGGGATACATGGTGATGGATAGATACCTGACTTGGGGAGCTGAACACAATACAATGTACAGTTGATGTGTTGTAGAAGTGTGCACCTGAAACCTGTGTAATTTTGTTAACCAGTGTCACTGCAATACATGCAATTAAAAAAAAAGAAGGAATGCCTCTTGGAGGACTGAAATGTCACCATTAGTTCAGACCTCCATGCTGCCTTAGAAGACAAGATTGGCAGATACAAGTGGAATGTGCAAGCCAGAAAAAAAGAACCAGGACGCTCTGATTCATAGTGATCAATCTGTGGTGATGCTCTGGCAGGCCTGCATCCTCTGTTGGGAATCCCCACATTTGGGGATCTGGCCTGTCCCCTGAGGGCAAAGGGACAGCTCCCTCTTGCTGGGCTGGCTGGCTGCACTTTGGGAGCAGCATCATACTTAATCTCTTGTGGCTGTGTAATGTGAGTCAGCTCCCACACACTCTTCTCCAGGAAAGAGGCCACCAGGCCTGCTTTAGGTGGCAGCACTAAGGGACTGAGACCCAGAGCTCAGGTGAGTGGATTTCCTGCTACCAGCTCTTGTTTGCTAGTTCCAGGAGCATAGCTCCTTGCCCCACCTCCCTCCTAGATTTTTCAGAAGTATGATTTTAAAGGAAGTGGTCAAGTCCCATAGTATTTTCTGGAGTGTCGGGCCCTCACCTCCCAGTCCTCTATGGAACTCTGCCCCTGAGTAATCTTGTTGATGTTTTCAAGTCTCCATTTCCATTCGTTGATTAGCTGGGCCACATCCTTCACGGCATGTAAAGCAGCTTCCACATCCTTGAAATACCTGAGGAAGAACAGAAATGGAAGAGGGCTGAGAGGTGGAGAGCAAAGAAGCGCTGGGAGCCTCCTGGAACCACATGTGGAGCTGCTTCCCTCTGGGGCTGTGCCACTGGCCTGTCAATTCCTTCACCTGTCAATGCACACCCCCATCTTCTCCACAAGTGCCACACAGGGCAGCATGTAATATCCTATTTCTGTCCTCTTCCCTCATCTCAACAATAGCTTGTGAGAGCAAGGATGGTTTTACTATGTGTTGTCACCCCAGTATCTACAGTAGTGCCCAGCTCACCAGGAGTACTCAACAAACTGGCTGACCCAGAGTGTGAGGAGCCCCCTGGCTGTCCTTTCTCCCTCAGCAGCCTCCTACCTGTGGGTATACTTGAGCAACTTGGCCAACTTGCAGTGGGTACTTGCAGATCTTCTGCCCCAGGGTCATCAGGAAGCTATTGAGGGAGATGTCGGTCATCTTTTGTAGCAGCCAGCAGGCCTCACGGAAATACATGTACTGGCTGAGCTTGGTGAGCCAGAACTCCATGCATGTGTTGGGATGGTTGTTGGAATACTCTGAGTAAATCTGGAAGTTTGCTTTCTGGGGAGCACAACTGGAAGTTAGGGTGGCTATCTCTCCAGCAGGCGCCTAACATGTGTGGGGAGGAAGGGAGTGGGAGCCTCTGCATTTCCTTCAGGAGCTGCACTCAGGGGGCCCAAGCTCTACAATAGTATTGGCCCAAGCTATGGTGCGTCATGCCCAGGGACACAACCTCTGAAAATCCAGCATGTACTATCCCTGTCACCATCAGGCTTTCTCAGCAGGACCCTCAGCATATAACTTTGTCTGACATACAGTAAAAATATATATATATATTGGATGAAATCAAGGATGCTAATAAGGAAGGCCAAAAAGGAGAGAGAGAGGGTGAGAGAGGAAGAAAGAGGAGTAGGAAAGGAGGGAGGGAGGGAGAGAGGGAGGCAGGGAGGGAAGGAGGGAGGGAGGGAAGGAGGGTGAGAGGGAGAGAAGGAGGGTGGGAGGGAGGGAGGGAAAGATTAAGTGGATGTTAGTCCATGGCTGTGCCACCTGAGTTTTCATTCTCAGCCCAGTGCCCTGCTTCTTCCTCACAAAAGTTCTGGCCTCTTTCTTTCCTTTTTTTTTTTTTTTAAGCCTCATCTACCTGGAGCCAAAGGCCAGGTCTGCCATGTAGTGACCTATGACATCATGGACTTAGGTGAGCAAAGAGGATAACAGCTGTTGGCTGGTGATGGGTTGCTGTGATACTCACACTAGGTGATGTTAATAAATTGTTTGTTCCCATCCCTGTAGTCACAACACTGCCTGCTGAATAACTGGACCCCGATCCCATACTCACTCTAGTGCTTAGACCCAATCTACTCCTGTGCATGGACAGACCAAGGTCTCCCTTCCTAGTTCTCCTGCCATTGGAGAGAGGTTGGCAGGGTCTTCCAACCCCCTATAGGTAATAACCAGGAAGGAACCCACATTGTCCCCAGTGGGCTGGACTTGACATCTGCTCACCCCAACAACTTTCATAGGAGATAAAACTTGTGCTTTCCCTATTAGACAAGGCCAGAAGGAAGGAGTCCATCTAACCAGTCCAGTGAACCTTGGCTAAATGCCAGTTGGCATTTGGAGTGTAAATAAACACTGTAAAAGACACATAAATTTGCTCACTGTATGAAGAACTCCAAAATTTGCTATGAACAGCCCACAGGATATTCAAGAGGCAGCCCATCCTACTCCTGCCCTCTACTCTGGCCCAAGGAAATCCTGGGGCTGATCCCAAGCCCCCTACTCCAAGGAGCCTTCTCTGACTTAATCTCCCACAGAACTAGGGACACTTCTAAATCAATGTTGAAGGATGAGGGCATTTGGGCAGTGAGGGAGTGGAACCTAGAAGCTTTCTGGAAAAGAGTAACATGTTGCCCGGTCTTTAGCCTGCAGGGCAACTTCTGAGCAGGCAGGTGGGCCAGGGCAGCAGGCAGGCAGAAGAGCCTCCAGCACAGGTGGGTGGGAAGGGCCAGATGCAGGTGTGCTCATGTGCTCTAGGAAGCAGGCACCCAGCTTGCTCAGGTGGGGGCACTCCGTGTTGAACTTCTGCTCCAGTGCCTTCACAAAGGCCTTATGGCACCCGTAGATGTCCTTGATGTTCCCGAAGATGGTGCGCAGCTGCTCCTCATTGAACATCTTGGTGCATTTGTGACACTGCCTGATGTAGCCCTGGGGACAGGATCCGGCGGTCAGGTCCCTCCTCAACCCCACCGCACCGCAGAGTGCCTCACCTCGCAGCTATCCCATAGGTGCTTGATATACCGTATTTGCCGGCGTATAAGACGACTGGGCGTATAAGAGGACCCCCTAACATTTCCACTCAAAATGCAGAGTTTGTTATATACTCGCCGTATAAGACTACCCCCTCTTCCGCACACCTTCCACACACCAAATAAAAGGTAAAACAATATCAGATTTGATTTTAACATTTTAATTTATATTCAAATGCTTATGACATGCAGGAAAACTGTCACAAGGCTGTCTGTAATCAAACATATACATAAAACAGTGCAAGTTTATTACCGGTAAACATACCGGTAATTCACTAAAGAAAACACACTCTATAGACTGGTACCGTAGATGCTTCTCAGGAACACAGGCAAGCAGCCCCCAACCTAGAGGGACTGTCAATGATAGAAGTAAGATAACAAATAGAGGGAGAGAGCAAGTGCCGGGCAAGTCCCTAGCAAGTTTGCTGGCGTGACAGTTTCACCTTAAAAGCCTTCAAACTCCTCTTCATCATCTGATATTAGAAGTTCATCAACGACATCTTGGTGCCATGATAGGGATGATAGGGGTTTGATTGGTCGACATTTTCTATGCTGTACTGTACAATGGGGCAGTATTGTGGTTGGCTGTTGGCTGTATACAAAGCCTGATTTGATTGGTCCCTGCTCCCTGTTTGCCCGCCCTGTCACTATAGCAGTCTGGTGCACCCTTGCATCAGCATCTCCCTGGGACCTCACTAGTGCGCAAGTGCGAGCTCTTCAACATTCTAACAGGCACCATGATAGCGCAAAATCACGAATCTTCAATGCATATGTAAAGAAATATACGGTAACCCGAATTTACCACACTCGCAAAATCGCATAACAGCCGAGCATACACCCAGCAGCGCTGCTGATGCCTGAACGGTATGTGGAATGAAGTGGGCGGGCATCGGGAGGCCACTATGGCACGGGGCAAGCACTATGGGCAGTCTATCTGAAGTGTACCTGGCATATAAGACGACCCCCCACTTGGAGGCATATTTTTCAGGGCCAAAAAATCGTCTTATACGCCAGCAAATACGGTAGTCCCACTCCCTGCTGAGGATCTCGTTGATGACTGTGTGCATCTGGTTCCTGCTGCTATTTCGAGCCTCACCTCCACCATTGTCTGCCCTTGTCCCAGGGCTTATCCTGGTTCACCCACAGCTACAGGCAAGGCTGCCGGTCAGTTCCAAGCAAGGGTTGATGCCTCGCATGCCTGTGGCTGTGTAGTAACTGGGGCTCTGAGAGCTGTTAGGACACACAGGGACAACTCCCACCACCCTCGAACAATGCTCATCTGGACAGGGGGACTACAGGTCCGATGACCATTGCAGTTGTCAGTGACATCTGAGACCATGTCTCCTCCGAAGGTGCTCTGCTTACATTTGGCTTGTGCTGGACGCAGGGCTTGGAATAAAGGATTGCCCACTACAGTTTCTGAACCATGCTTGCTCATACTGGGCTCTTTATCTGTAGAGACCAGGAGAGAAGTGGATGGTGATGTGGCCTTATTGGCTCTCTGACCCCTAACTAGGAAAGACTTGGAGTATACCACAGACAGTTGATCTAGGGCAGTGGTCGGCAAACTGTGGCTCGCGAGCCACATGCCGCTCTTTGGCTTCTTGAGGGTGGCTCTTCCACAAAATACCACATGCGGGCGTGCACGTACAGTGCGATTGAAACTTCGTGGCCCATGCACAGAAGTCGGTATTTTGTGGAAGAGCCACCCTCAAGAAGCCAAAGAGCGGCATGTGGCTCGCGAGCCACAGTTTGCCAACCACTGAAATCTGGGCAGGGCTGACAAACTGAATTCCAGGGCCTGGGATTTCCCCTCCCTACTGCCCTCTGCTGGCCTTTTGGAGTCTGCACCTGGATTCCTTCCTTAGAGACTAAAGGCCTCCTTAGGGAGAATCTGGGTCCCTCCCTGTGAACTATTGGGCTAAGGACTTAACTTGTCCATGCCTCAGGTATAAGTGAAGTTTTCAGCTTGCAGGGCTGTTGTGAAAGTTATAAGTAAGAGGATCCAGGTGAATGTCCTGCACGATGCTTAATAAATGCTTGGTAAACCCAGTTGTTTGTGGTGGTGTTCTGACATGCAGGTTCCCCTTGGAGGGATCCACACACCTTCATTTCTGACCTATTCCTCTCTGGCTACTGAGGGCCCCCTGGAGGGAGGGGTGGGAGAAGGGGGTTGGAGTTAGTGACAGCTCTGCTGGAGGTGGACTGTTCTTCATGACCCTCACCCAATCCACAGCCGTGAATGGGAAGTCTATGCCCAACACTAGAGCAGTTTCAGGCTTGAGTTTCTGAGCAGAGCCAGTTGGCTCTTTATGGGCTTTGGAGAAGCTCAGGCCAGTGCCATACCCACACAAAGCTAGCTGGAAACCAGCCCTCCCCAACAGTGGCATGGCTCCACCACCACTCTCTGTTGGTGGCATCCATTACTTCAATGGCATCCCCAGCTTTGAAGCCCAGTTCCTGGTTATCCATGGTGACATGGTCCAGAGTGCTTCAGCACAGACCACACTGCCATTGCTAATGAGCTGTGGAGAGAACCATGGACAGGCAGATCAGTGGAGTAAGGCTGCCATGGACTTCATGGGGCAGGGTGCTCCTGCCCTCTGCACCCCACCCCTCAGCAGCCCTGGGAAGAGGAGATCCTGACTCATATCACAGAGGAGGGGATGGAGACTCCCTCGAACCAGCTACTCTTTGGGGGCCAGGGCTATGCCCTAGGCATGTCTAGACTGGCAGGGCTCATGATGAAGACTGAAGTGAACTTGACCACTAGGATCTTGGTGAGCCACAGAATCTGAAAGTCGAGCATGTCCCTGTATAGGACACACCTGCCTTCCATCTCGATTGGGCCAGTGGTTAAACTATTGTCTCTCAGCTTCATCTCTCATCTTTGCTCTGTGATAGTGGGGCTAGGACACTTCAAGCTGCATTTCTGCTGTGCCAGCTATTCCCTGTTAGGTTCTCCTAATGTGACATTGGAGGGGACCAAAAAGCTGCTCCCTCCTGCTGTGTTCTTGTGGACTTGCAGTACCTGTCATGTCACCTACAAGCAACAATGCTGCTTCACCTAGGTATAGCGGTGCCCAGACATTGCAGCACCTGGATCCCATTTGCAGTGTTTTTTGAACATTTGCAGAACCAGTCTCATGGCATTCGCTTCCTCGCCACCCCCACCCCCCATCAACACCAGCTGAGCAGCAACCCTCCTCAGATTTCTAGGTCCTACACCCACAGAATTTTCAGTTCTAATTGTTCCAACCTCTTTCCTTTATTCTCTAGGTCTAGGAAAGATATGTACATATTGCTCCCTCTGCAATAGATACTTCAAGATTGTTCTTGTGCAGTTGGTTAATGAGTCAGAAACTTTATATATGGCTAACACTCTGTGTATTAATTTCCATCTGCTGCAATAATTGGTGTGAATCTATCTTCCTGCATGGTCATTGAACTCACATCAGGAGATCCAGACGGTGTGCATGGACCTCACCTAGAAATGCAGGCAACCCTTGTGCTCCCAGCTCCATTTGCCATTGAGCTGACACCTGTTTTCCTGGAATGTGGGTCCAGTTTTTGCTCCTTGAATAATGAATGTCCCTGGGGACTTAGGGCAAGAGGAGGTATGTTCTAAGGATTGCATGGGAGGTGAGGTCCATGCTCCTCTCTGTTGGGACCAAGTGTGGCTCTGGTTTTCACAGTCATGGGCTGGCTCTTTGGCTAAGAAGTTAAGACCTTGCCCTAGCCAGTTGGCTCAGTTGGTTGGAGCATCATCCCATACTCCAAAAGGTTGCAGATTCAATTCTCAGAGCACTACCTAGGTTGCAGGTTCAGTCCCAGTCAGGGCAACAAGAGGCAACTGATCCATGTTCTCTATAAAATAAATGAACATATCCTCAGTTGAGGATTAAAAAAAAAGTCAAGGCTTTGGGAGTCACCATACATGCCCTGTGAACTCAGCTGCCTGCTCTACCCTTCATGGGGTTTAGTTCCCCCTTGGCTTCAGGCCCACTGGGGCCTTCCCTGGGTGCTCCCAGGCAGTGTGCATGCTCATCCTCACATAGAAATGGGAGCTATAAAATAAATGAACATATCCTCAGTTGAGGATTAAAAAAAAAGTCAAGGCTTTGGGAGTCACCATACATGCCCTGTGAACTCAGCTGCCTGCTCTACCCTTCATGGGGTTTAGTTCCCCCTTGGCTTCAGGCCCACTGGGGCCTTCCCTGGGTGCTCCCAGGCAGTGTGCATGCTCATCCTCACATAGAAATGGGAGCTAAATATATCCGAGCGGGAATGTGTAGGTCTTCACCTGAGTCCAGTTGCTGTCTAACAAGTGTTTAGTGTGCCCCAAATGGGTAGGGTGAGTGGTGGGCAGGCCACCTAGGCATGGGAGGCCACTCAGATTGGGCCTTTACTCCAAATAGGGCCTGAGCAAGCCCATTCAGAAACCACCAGTTCTTCATGATTTCTCAGAGTAAAACCTGCTCCAAACTCTGATGAAACCACTCCTGAGAATAATTCAGAGACTATGTATACACCTGCGCTCACATGCAGCAGCCTCTCATGGGTGGCAGAGTCCTGAGGCTGCAAGTCTCCTTAAAGGACCATTGCACTTACCCAGCTAAAAATACTTACTATAGGCCCTTCTTCTGCAGAGATGCCTGGCCCCAGGCATCAAGAGCTCCTGACTGCAATAGAGACAGGGTAAGATAAGAGGATTCAGCGAGGCCACATGAGAAGAGCCAGCCTGCTGCATGTAGGGTGCAGGCACTTGATGGGGCAACTTGCAGTGCATAATGTACACAAGCAGGCCACCACAACAGGCCTGGGGGTCTGGCCTGAGGACAAAAAAGAAGCAGAGTACTCAAAGGTGGTCTTTAAGAGCCAATGAGAATGCAGGCTGCAGGTTAATGTCCCCATTCAGGGGCAGTGACCATGGGTTAGTATGAGCATCAGAACAGAGGGTATGTGTGACCACAAGTGACTTAAGCATCAGGACTGAGCGTCCATGTGACTATGTATGAGTAATACCAGAATAGAGGGCATGTTTGACCACTAGTGAGTTGAGCAATAGCACAGAGGGCACAGATGAGTGTGAGCATCAGGACAGAGGGCATGTGACTACTAGTAAGCATGAGCATTACAACAGAGCCTGTGTGACCATAGGCACATATGTGCATTATGAAGATTTGTATGTTTTGAGTGATGAGTTACCAAGACAATGGAACTTCTTGATAAACTGAGGTTTGGATCCAGCAGGTAACGAACTTTTTGCTTAAGCTTTGTAGTTTTGATCCTGGAGAAGTGGGAGCTCTAAGACTCCCTCTTGCTGCACAGCCCCTGGAATCCACCTACCAGCACATATTCACATGCTCACTATTAGATGCTACACTTTGATCTCCTGAGAAGAGGTTGTAGATTCTTTCTATCCTCAGTTCGCAACAACTGCACATATAAGTCTCCAGGACAGCATTCAGGCTGCCCTTACTGCTGGAGCCCAGGCAGGAGGAAGTATTGCTGACACACCCAACACAGCCCAGCTACACAGTTTCCCTTCCTAGGTTGTTTCTGCCTGATATTAACCAGATCAGGCATCTGCCCCTGCCCCAGCTTCCTTCAAGTGAGCCCTGAGCTAAAGCCCCTCTTATATGGCCCAGTGCCTTCTCCCCTGTTTTATTTTTGCCAGCCCTTACAGAGAGGCACAGTTCTGCACAGGTGGTTTCCTACATAGCTGTGGGAAAGGGCACAGGTATAGCAGACACACAGGGCTTCTGAGAGAGACCAGGATGCCTATACACTTTTTTAGACATGCCCCTATACCTGTACTTCCCAATCACCTGAAAGCCCTTGGTGGTGGTGGTGGTAGAGGGGTTGGTCGCCTTTGTCACTTCCTTGTTCCAGCACCTTGCCAGCACAAGAGGCATCTGGTAGACACTCAACCTGAAGCAACTCCCTTGATGTCCCTGTGCCTCAGTCCCCATGGATGCCTACAGTAAAAATGTGCTCCACATGGGCCACAAAGCTCTTGTGTAGATCCACAATGGGAGGCATTCTGTTGAATTATAGCAATGGCATTAACTGTGTATGTGATGTCACCAAGACAATGTAGTTCTGCCTGCTCTGAGAAGCATTCTACCTTCAGGAGAGCCCAGAGGCTACCTGGGCCTAAGCAGGGTGGGGTTCTGGGCAGAGGCCCTTCCTGGCCACTCTAAAAGGTGCAGCTGCACGGAAGCCAAGACGACCCCGGCAGGCTGAGCGGGAGGATTAGGCTTACTCTTGGGCTGGCAGTGGGTAGAAGCTGGCTCTGAGGTATAGGATGTTTATGTGTGGCAGGTAGGGGACTGTCCTAGTGGAAGAACAAGTTCAAGACTGAGACAAGGAGCGACAAGGGGCAGGATCTCCTCCTGTGCCCCTGAGATTTTGATAGGCCTAGGGAAAGCAGGCTCTGCCTCAAAGTGCCCCTGATGACCACCCACCATCCTTCCCACCCTGCCCCATCTCCTCCTCTCACATGTGCAGGCTGAGGTAGGATTGTAATGGACAATCTAGGAATGCAATTTGGCAGGCCTTTGAGCAGCCAAGGCTGAGGGCTGTTCAGAGTGCCACTTACAAGGCGGGAGGGCTCTGCCTGTAATGGGTTGGGGCACACTGAGACCACTTAAGACCGAAAATGGGAAAAGCTGGTAACACGTAAAGAAGAGCCCACTCATCTTCCACAGACATCTCTTAAACCTACACAGAAATGCATGTCCAGTTCCGCTCATACTTCAGTCACATAAGCAGTTTTCAGACAACCACAGCAGCCAAGGCCACAGCTACATACGGATCTCCAGTCACCCACAGAGATGAGCATTTTAGTCACACACACACAAACACATACACACACACACACACACACAACAGATGACAGACGGAAGGACCCATGGCACATGTGTCACCAAACTCCAGGCAGGCAGGGGCACCCTCCACAAGCGCCATCTGTTTGGGGCTTGCTGGGCCATAGCTTCACCACCTCGGCTCACTGCGTTGGGAGTGGGCCTATACAGCTAGATGGGGCTAGGGGAGAGGCGGGGCACGGAGGGTGGGCAATGGAGGCGCCACTCACCAAGAGAAGCCCGGGGCGGTTGGCCTTGGCGGTCAGCAGAAGGCCAGCAGGAACACCAGCACGATGTTTATGAGGACGAGGAGCGCCAGCACGGCGAAGACCACCACACATTGAGCGCCTGGTGGCAAGTTGCAGCACAGCACAGCACGCAGGGCGCTTCCTGGGGCCGCGGGGCGGGGCCGGGTCTGGGACACCCTGGCCATAGCGGCAACTCTCCGACTCTCCGTTGAGCGCCTGTCCAGAGAACACCCGGAGCAGGGACAGCAGCAGGGCCAGGAGCGCGGGGACCGCGGGGGCGGAGCCGCGTCAAGCCTCTCATCCTACCCTCTGCTCCTAACAATTACCCCTCTCCATCCCCAGAGGCCGAGTGGGCTGTCAGGGTCACGCGGACTCCGGCGAGTGCAGATACTTGACCTTGGCGATTCGGTGGGATGGCTCAGGGAATCCAGACCGCCAAGCGCAGGAATGGTGGCTGTGGTGACTT